TTATGTTGGGAGAAAATGGAACATAAGCCCCCAAAAAATTGCTTTCAACTGACCTGAATGATAATAAACATTATGAAACACTTTCATTTTTTCCCCTACAATAAAGATTGTTGTGTAAAAATAAAAGAGCAATTGAGTTGCATATTTTTCTCTCTACTAATTTTTTAGAAATGGATCCATTGCCTGTTAAGAACTTTCAGACAAACTAAAAACTAATTTAACAAAATTTGATAGAGAAAATATAAAAGTGTTTAGATTTTTGTTAAAGTGTTGAAGACGTGCTATGTGGAAGTGTTAGACATATTTTCTTTTAGGAAGTATTAATTTAAATTTTTGTTAAAAATTTGGCCATGCTTCTAACAAAAAATGCTTATAGTAAAAGCTCTTATGAGTATTAAGTGTTTTTCTCTTAAAACATGTTAAAATGGGAAGACTCACAGATGCATTTGAGCCTCTTCCTGAGCATTATCGTGTATTTTGCTAACGCTAGAAATTGAACTCAATGTGTCGTGTGAAAGCGTTGGCATAAAAAGTTTCAATGAAACAGTAAACAATTCATCCACACCCCACCTTGCTTGTAAAATTAGCATGATACAATTATTTTGGCTTTGGTTGCTAAATGCTAAACTTTAGGTTTTAACAGCCTCCATAAAAGATGGTCTTACCATATATAGCTAGACAAAATGGAAGCACAATGCACTTCACTCCATTTTTCTTTTCTTTTAAAAGAAAAAAAAAATTCCGAAACTGGGTTAAAGGACAATTGCAACTATTGTGTGGTGGCCTAAGTCATATATAAAAGGATGAACCAATAAATAACAATATGCATTTTACTTTATGAAAAGTTGATTTATTTTTTAGTACTTAAAATGTATAGTTATCTCCACTTTGCATTTAAAGTAATTACTATTGTAACTCAATAATACTAATCATTAAGGTTTATTTGAATCCATCATCTTCGTCTTAACGTAGATAATATTGTTTATTCAAAAAGTTTTTTTTAAAGAAAAGAAAAATAATGATGAAACTTTTTTTGGTAAAAAAAAATTTAGAAAGAGATTGACGACTCTCTTGCCTAACGCTAGAGCAATACCAAATAAGATGAACTTTATTTCTCCTATATCTCTTAGTTTTTCAAAAGTTAATGATAACTTATATTATTCGACTGTAAAAAATAAATTGATATGCCTGGGTAAGGACAAGCTAGGATTGTTGACCATGGGACAACGCCACAAGGGGGAGGGGATGGCTTAAAACACACTCTCCGTGTGTTCAATCATGGCCTCTGCCTTCTCCAATCATCTTGCTTCCCATTCTCTTTTCTCACACTTTCCAGGCTTCATATGTCCAACATCATATCCCAAACAGTATCGTCGTCGTCATCATCAAACCAAGCAAGTAGCAACAATACCTGTGTCAATGGGACCTGCAGTCCCACGTACGTTATTAATCTGCAGAGTGACAGAGTCAGATTTGGAGAATCCAATAGATTGATTGGTTTATCTTTAGTGTCAATAATCATTTAACGGGAACAAATCAATAGACTGTGATCACAAAAACAAGAAGGAAAAAAAAAACCCCTATACCTTAGTAAAGAAATGTAAACTCGTAAATCTAACGGATACTCATGTTTCCATTAATATGCGAATTCTAAATTTAGATAAACTACGGTTTTGAAACTAAACTGTGAGTAATTTAAGACTCATAGACTAGACAAATACAAAGTGTTGTGCTAGCATGGGTCTTAAAAATTTAGAAAAGGCTTTTTATCCAAAATGGTTTTTGAGATTTGTATAACACATTACTTTGGTCTCTGAGATTGAAAATCAATAGAAATAGTCCCTGAGATTGTCCACCATCTATTATTTTGGTCATTCCGTTAAAAACTCCGCTAAGTGTCATAGATCTCTTGGCCGAAAGTTTGGGCAATTTTCAAAGCTTCGTAACTCAATCGTTTCTTAACCAAATTCGACCCATAATATATCAAAATGAAGATAGGAAAATGTAGAATAAGATTATATCATTTGGAAGCCCAATGGTTGCCGACGATGGCCGGAAAATAGCCTGAAAGGTGATTGGTCTGTGGAAAACTAGAAAACTCGCTGAAAACTGGGTAAACTTTAAACGTTCATAACTTCTTCAATACTCAACGAAATCGAGTGATTCAAAAATGAAAATTATATTTCTCGACGAGACGAAGCGAATGGTACCTTCTTGATGGCTAAATTTCTGTGGTTTGGCCGGAAAAAGCTCGAAAATGGCTGTCTTGGTCTCAAGTTAGCCACTTTCGAGCCCTTTTTTGGCCAAATCATGATGAATTAGCCATCGATAAAGATACCATTCTCTTCATCTCGTTGAGAAGTATGATTTTCGTTTTTGAATCACTTGATTTTGTTGAGTATTGAAGAAGTTATGAACGTTTAAATTTTATCCAGTTTCCAGCGAGTTTTCCAGTTTTCCGCGGACCAGTCACCTTTCAGGCTATTTTTCGGTCATCTCCGGCAACTATTAGGCTTCCAAATAGATATAATCTTGTTCTACACTTTCTTATCTTTATATCAAAATATAGGGGTGTGCTATCCGCACACCCCTTGTTAATTTATGTCCGATGATCTTCTTCAATTCATCCGATCTGACGGCTGAAAACTAAGGAGGGTGTATTCAATTGGGATTTTGAGGGATTTTAATTCTTTTAATGAATTTATGGGTATTCAATCAGGTTTTTAAGTGATTCTCTGAAATTTAAGGTGTATTCAATTTAGAATTTTAAGACAACTTATTAAAATCCTTAGAAATCCGGATGTATTCAATTATGATTTCAAAGAAGTTTATAACATTCTAGGTGTATTCAATTTGAAATTGATTTTAAGGAATTTGAGAAAGTTGAAGAATTAGAGGGAATTTGAGAGATTTCGTAATGTATTTTAAGCATCTACAAATCTCATCTCTCCCATGAGATTTCGAGGGAATTGAATAAAAAATTTATATGGAATCTCTACAAATCAATTAAACTCCATAAAAATTCATGAATTTATAAATCCATTAAAGTCTCTCAAATTCTTAATTGAATACACCCCCTAAAAAGATGTGGGAGAAGTAAAAAATGATGTGTGAATATATCACACCCCTTGATATATTATGGGTCGAATTTGGTTAAGAAACTTTTGAGTTATGAAGTTTTGAAAATTACCCAAACTTCTGCCCAAAAGCTCCGGGACAGTTAACGGAATTTTTAACGGAATGACTAAAATAATGGATGGTGGACAATCTCAGAGACCAAAATGATGTGTTATGCAAATCTCAAGGATCATTTTGGTTAAAAAGCCTTTAGAAAATATGAGAAATGAAGATTGATTGGATTTTGTTTTTGCTCTGCAGGATTTCCGGACTGTCCTACAATTGAGTGCTGCTATTACTTGTGGTTATCCGCGTCTGCGTGTCCCAGTATACGATAAACATGGACTATCATGGCATCAAAAGTCAAGATTGCGATGCCATAGACATAAGGTAGCTGAAGCCAGAACTACTATATCGGCATGGCTCGGCATGAGTTACGGGTAAAGACGGAGTTCCAACCAAGGGATAGGTGATTCGAAAGCGTGTGATTCTACACTTTCTTCTATGGCATATCAAACAGAACCTAGCTGATTAATTTTCTGCATAATTTGTAAAATTATAACGAGCAATGCTTACCTCCAAGGAATGCGTAGTACGTACAATAATTAGATTACAGCCATAATTAACCTAGATATACAAGGCCTCGTTTCGTGTCTAGTTATATATTGGATTAGATAACTCATTAAATTTCATGTCTACATTCCATTTTGGTAGGATTTTAGAATAAGTTTCCATATATCTTCAAATTGGACAAGATTCGGATGTTGGCATTCATTTCTGGCATTGATCCAGTACAATATTACAAGGCACCAAACAAGTGCTAATGCCGATGGATTTTGGAACTATCATATAAATGTTAGGCAATCTGAGTGGCTAAATTAGATGGAGCTAGTGTTTGGTTAAGATCGTTTAGAAGTGCTTTAAAACGACTGAAAGTACTCTTGATGAAAGTGACTTTGGGTTTCAAATGTTTTTTTTTTTTTTCAAGATTTCACTTACATTTTTACTAAAAATCGGTTTCAAAATTGTGAAAAACACTTTCAATTTGAAACCTCCTGCGGTAAGTATGCAACGATTTGGAGTTTGGACCAAATAATCGAATTGGACATAACAAAGACTTGGGTTCAGCTTTTCCAAAAACTGTCCAAGTGTCTGGGCTTGGTTTAAGAAATTTAGCCCAAATTTATTTGGTGGAACAAAATTGTGGATCAAAGTGGGAGCCAGGCAAGTGCACTTGTGACCTCCCATATAAAAATGATGCACACTTGCTCTATGAAAACAATGACCATAGGGTCAAGATTTGCACCGAATTTAGGGTGCTAGGATTTGAGAAAGTGGAAAAGGAACAAAGAAGAAGAGTAAGGAAGAGAAGGAGGAGGTCCAGATTAACCTGAAATTGAAGTGAAAACTGTTTTTTAGTTCTAATTTACAAGTCATTCTATTTACTGTCTTTGTGAAATGAAGCAGTTCGGTCGATTCGTCGGTGAAATTCGTATGTTCGTCCATTCACGAGTCGTTTGTGATGTCTGCGAAATGAAAAGAAGCAGAAATATACAACTTGGGCTAGATTTGGAGTTTTTCTGGTTAAGCATAGAAGCAGATACGAAAGGTTGACAAGAAAATGAGTAGCATGTACTTTTCACCGGTCGAGGGATTTGTCTACCGTGTTTATGCAGAATCAACCTGTTACAAGGTTAACAATTTCTTCTATTTACACATGATCGTGGCTGAAAAAGCTACACACACACACACACACACACACACACCCAACTATATATGCGTTGAATCGAACTGACGGGGATAGCAAGCAAGGGCAGTTTATATGCCTAGATATCCAAAAAGGGAAAGTACAAGGCATGCAGGTTTTCCACAGAATCAAAGGATTAATAGACGCGAGTTTAAATATTATAGAGAATTATGCCAAATGAACGCTAGCATAAGAAGTTCATGAGTTTATTTACAATGGAACTACGAAACCGGCCTACTAGTAGTACTAGTGTTACAATGATTTGCCATGCAAATTGAAAGCCTAAGATCCTTCGGTTAAGGGAGGATCATTATATGAAAATCTAAAACAAATAAATCAAGCAGATAGCTGCGGAAGTTCCATAATCACACCTCATCAAAGTCAAAGGACAAAGGTTACGGCAAAAGTTGAATACTTCCGAGAGTCTGAACAGGGAAAGGCATTTAAGAGGGGGAAAGGGTAATAAAATAAAAGTCGAAGAGCACATACATAACGTTTGGTGAGCTGAGGAAGATGCTTTCAGTTCAGTCTTCTTCTGGCGGCACGAGAATCTCCACTGTCCATGTCCGAAACGCTTGACAAATCACTTCTTCTGGAAGATGAAGTTGAAAGGGAAACCATGAAATCGATTTCCACAGCGGTGTCCAGTTGGCTTTCTGAATTTATAACAGCAGTAATACTTGAGAAAGAATCTCTATCATCAACTGGTGCAGGCTGCTGTGGGCTGAAGAGGACGCTTTCAGTTCAGTCTTCTTCTTCTGTGGGCACGAGAATCTCCACTGTCTATGTCCGAAACTCTTGACGAATCATTTCTTCTTCTGGAAGATGAAGTTGAAAGGGAAACCATGGAATCAATTTCCACAGCTGTGTCCAGTTGGCTCTCTGAATTTATAACAGCTGCAATACTTGAGAAAGAATCTCTATCATCAACTGGTGCAGGCTGCTGTTGTTCTTGATTTCTATTACGGTTACGATAATATGCCTCAAATAACCTTTCAGCAGTATTCAATGCAGACGAGAAAGAAGATAGTGTTGCTCTGTGCGATTGTGTCCTTCTAAGTAGCAAGGACTGAAGTTGGCGGTTTTCCCTTGTATCAACGCCAGTCACGTTGCTTTGCGTCAAATCCACAACATCATCTGCAAGTACCACTGGATTTTGCTCTCTGCGCAGTCCTCGAGATGTCAGAATCCTATTTAACAAATTAGTTCTTTCTGCTGTTTCCCGGGTATTCTCAGGCTCTGATGGATGAATAACATCCTGAGTCAAATCAAATCTATTACCAAGACGGCGAATCATCTCCTCTACTGGAAAAGTCAATGCACTCCTCTGAATGGTTTGTCTCAAACTTTCAACCCGACGTGCATGAGGCCTAAGAGGGATCTTAAGATTTGAGTCGTCATCTTGCTCACGCACATTGTTTCCACGACCATAGATTGGGGTGACATTCTTCATTGTTACCTCTCCCTTACAGACAGGGCATTCCTTTGCATCTTGCACATGCAACCAACGGTAAATGCATGGCCAACAAAACAAATGACCACAACAAGTCACAACAGGGTCCCTAGCCAAGTCCAAACAAATATTACAATCGAAAAAGCTCCCATCACTGCCACCGCCCTTTTCAACATCATCCTTATTCTCAGAATTCTCATTTTCCAAAATCCCATTGTTATTATCACATGTCTTGGGTGCGTCACTTGTTCTTTCTTCTGCTGTAAGACTACCCTCACCGGGTTGTAATGTACTTGAATTACCATAGTTGACCATCAATTCATTCAACTCCATGGAAATATTCCGCCTTTCAGGTAGCGGCCATCTCCTCTGCCGGGCCCTCCTCATAGCTTCCGCAATTCTGCGGATAGGCGCTTCAGTCCAAGCATCCAAATTTACAGGTTCATTTGACATCGAGCCAGCATCGGGACCAGGACCCAGATTCAGGTCAAGGTTCATTGCATCAGACGTCTCCTCACCCATCAAAACCCAAAGGCTTATTATATCACAGATTTAAGAAACCCAGATCAGAAACCCTAGCTTCACCACAAAACTGATGAAACCCAAATCACAGAACCACAAAAATCACCCAAATTGAACAACATTTGGCGCACAGTTCAAAAAACTCTAACAGTAATAAAAAATCATGAACAAATCCGTATGAAAACCCACAAAATTGAAGAAACCGAGATGGGAAAGAACCCTAAATCAGCAAGTCAAGCTAAAATTAGGCCATCAAATTGGCGACTTGGAGACATTTTTCCATGGTATAAGTCTCTAGATGGAAATCTAGGGTTTCAAAAGCCGAGAAAACAAAAAACTAAAGAAAATTAAACACCTGGGTCATGGTGAAACGGTGTCGTTGATGATCAGCTAGAGCTGGAGTGAGCTCGAGAGCGAGTTGGAGACCGCCTGAGCTGAGTCTGCCGCGAGTCGACTGGTCATGAAGGGCCCTCTTGCTCTAATCAGCGATCTAGTCTACAGAGAAGGATTAGACGGGCAATGAATTTAGGACGGGGCACTGGGGCAGGAGAGAGAGAGAGAGAGAGAGGAGAGAGACAAACCTTTGCGTTGGCGTTTACAAGTGAAGGCTTTGTTTGGGAGGTGATGAACGGCTGTGATGGAATTTGTGGACCAGCTTGTACTGCAAATCAAGAGGCTCAAATTGAGTTTCCGCTAGGCTTTGGTTTGGGTACTTGTAGAAGTAGAAGGTGACTTCCTAATGGAACTTTTATGTTGTTTCAACTGGTGTTGGGACAGCTTAACATGTACTGGATTATGTGCTTGGACCGAAAAAAAAGCAATGGGCCTATTTAAGGCCCAAAACACTAGATTTTGGACTAAAGGCTTAATGGGTATTTATTTCTTGGCAAAATAAACAATGTCTAGCCCAATTTTTAAAAGCACTTTACGACATGGCATTGTGGGCGACAAAAAACCCTTTTCACATAGAAGGAAAGATGTTCAATCATCATTACAGAAGAAAAAGTACTTTTCAGTGGCAGTTGTAGTTCTGAGAGGATAAAAGCTTGAGTTACCAAGTGGAAACTCATCCTATGACAACAATCACATTAGCAACTTAGATCAGGGGAAAGAACTAAGGGGGAAAGGCTTACTCCATAAGTAAGAGGCTGTTCTATAAAGGCAACATTAATGAAGAAGAAAAAGACACTCAACTCAACATACAAAAATACTTCAAAGCTCTGCATGCCTACTTTCACAAATTCCTTTTGTATTTTAAGCATGCATTTCCCTTTATATCTCTCCAACATTACTTGCAAGGGAGGAGCTGAATTTTTTTTTTTTTTGGGTGGACTAGTTGACATAAAATCATATGTTTATTTTTTCTAATATAAAATTATACAGTAATCAATATAAAAGAACAACAATAGAATATAAACAATTATTCAAATCATAAACCTAACTGACAACTTCAAGGACCATATAAATAATTAAAGGAAAACTAATGAAAAGGACTTGAAAACTTCGAGTTTTAATCAAAATGACAAAAATGTGTTGTAAGTGAATAGTACCAGGAGTGACTTTTTAGAATAAAAATGTCATTTTTGTTAAAAATGAACAATATCGGGAGTGTTTCGTTAAAACTCCCAATAATTAATCTACTTAATAAATCAAGAATAAGTAAATAAAGTGATTAAGAGCATACTAAAGGTTACATTCATTGGAAAATCACAACGAAAGTAGTAGAATTGTGGAGATAGGGATTTAATTGTGGACTAAACGAAAATTCTTTTTCTTTTCTTGAGTAAGAAGTACAGAGGCTAAATCAGATAGGATAAATGGTCTTTTTCTTTAGCATAAAAGGTATTATTTACTACCTATCCTCTACTAAATATACATGAAATAATAACCTGTATTGGAATTGAGTGGCCTATATAGGCTACATGCACTAATATAAGCTATTAAAGCATGAGTTTCAAAAAGGATAAAGCTATTCACACACCCTTATTATTTTTTTGTCATTGATCTTCATCAATTTATTCGATCTGAAGACCGACAATTGAGCGGGATGTGTGAGAAATAAAAATGGGTGTATGTATAGCACTAAACTTACAAAAAACCTCCTTGTGCTACAACCCACCTTAGCCTTGTGGGTGGCTCCGCTTGTGAGTACTTGTAGTATTGATTCCTTGTATTGAAATCTCTTTTACAAACACTTTTATATTTGCTAGCACTTGCCCTATAATGGACAGCTTTGCCCAACTGTGGCTAAAACTTGCCCGAATGGGTTTAATTTTTACCCAATTACTTGCATTAGTTGTTAATTTTCAATTTGTTATATTTTTATACAATTTACTATGTTTTTTTCATTAATGTTCAACAAATCTTTACAACTTCTTACATTCAACCCTTTACTTATATTTTGTTTTACTTACTATTTCTACATTCATAATGAACATTGCAAATTGACTTAGATCACTTTTGATTAGTTTGTGGTCTTCTCTTGGCATCAATATATGACACGCCCTGATCTCGGTGTCAGAAGGACAATAGGATGGCCACGTGCTGGCCAATACTCGAAGGTGACGCAAGCCATTTTATGAATGCATATGTCGAGAACATGTGAAACATGCATATAATTTTCATGCGTAACAACGCAATATAGTAATCAAGTACAGACTTTAATTAAATATAATAATCAACTGCCAACAATGTAAAAGTGATAATGCATGGCATGTTCAGAGCATACTACTAATTCGAAATACAAGCGGAAGAAATATTAGAAAGTGCGATTACAAGAGGAATGGGTCCTACACTGAGAAGACTCGAGGATACCAATGTGGGAGTGCCTTGACGCCGGGATTGTATGTCTCGATTCTAAATCCTGAGGGGGCGCAAAACAAAACAAAACATGAGTGGACCAAGTTTATATATATGTAATACTAAAACAGTTATTCTTCAACATACTAACCCCTAGTTTAGAAAACTCATATAGCATAATAAGTAATAGGTTTTCCGAAAACTCTAGCATACCATAAAACCTTCATAAAACATATATCATATATAATGTGCTTAGTAGTGGTATATATATGCTGTCGATAAACTGAAATCTTGAAATTTGCTAATGCATAATACTATAGATAATATTTTTCTTAATAGTATTATAATTACGTTGTTCAGGAGATCTAGAAGAAATTGACTGTTTAAGAATACCTCCGTAACCAATTTCAGAGGCATCAGTTTCAACAATTTTGAAGGAATTAGGAGTTGGAATACCAAGACATGGCAAAGTCTTAACATGTGATTTGATTTGTTTGACAATGGAAGTATGAGTATTGGACCAAGGTGAAGGATTTTCTTTTAGATGATCAAATAAGGGTTTGCATTGTTGCCTAAGATGAGGACAAAATTCTGCAACATAATATAAAGAGCCTAGAAATCTCTGTAATTGGGGTTTTGTCAGTGATTTCATTTGGGATCTTATCTACAAATTGAATTACTCTATTTATTGGTTGAATGGTTGACTAGTGGATATTGTATCTTAAAAACCTAACTTTGGTCTGGAATAACTTAATTTTGGTTGCTAAGACAACTAATCCATTTGGCTTAATTATCCTAGCAAACATATTTAAGTGTTTCCAATGCTCATTTATTGATTTGGAATAATTGAGAAATGATTGTATTGATTAAATATTTCTTTCATGATATTCTGAAATTTACTAGGTGCATTCTGAAGATCGAATGACATTACATTCCATTCATAATGGCCGAAAAGAGTGACAAATGCAATTTTGTATTGTCATCCTCATGAATTTGAATATGCCAAAATCCAGACTTCATGTCGAATTTTGAGAAGATTACAGCTTGACTAAGTTTCTTAATTAATTCTCTTTTTCTAGGAATTGGATATCGTATCCATTTTAAGATTTAATCAAGAGGTTTGTAATTAATGACTAACCTAGGCATTCCTCTTTCTAATTCAGGACAAAACCAGGGTGATTTGCTTTTCCTAATGATTCCTTTATTGAGAAGTTCTTGGATTTCTGTTTTGTAGAATTCCATAACTTCTTGACTCATTTGAATTGGTCTGCCTTTTTTTGGAATTTTCTTTTCATCAAATTCCTTATTGTAAGGAAGTTTAACAATGTGTTGTTTTATGTACTAGAAAGCATTGGGAATGTCAGAACAAATTTCATTAATAAGTTTCTTTTGAAAGTTGTCAATGGTTTGTAACAAAGATTTGTTTGTTAATTGTTCTTCGATTCTTTTGTAATTGATTTCTTCTTTTGAGGAATTAATTTGTTGTGATTTTTTGGTGACTAGATTGATGGTTTTCGAGATACTATCTTTTTGTAATTGTCTTAATTTTTTGAGATCTGTTTCCATGCAGAACTCAAATGTGATTTTTTGTCCTAGCATTTTTGTGTTATGCGATTGTGGTGTACTTTGAAAGGATATAAAAGAGCTGTGAAATGGAGACCTAAAATGACTGGGTCTGAAATGTTTTTAATCAAAACAAATGGGGTGTATATATATATCTTCATTCGCTCGAAGGCTCTTCATCTTCCGCCCGTAGACATATATAAATCTTCATTCTTCATTCGTCTGAAGGCCCTACATCACCCGACCGAAGCCATTTATAAGTATCATTCGCCCATTGGCCTTCATTTGCCCATAGGTCTCTACATCACATGACCGAAGCCATTTATAAGTATCATTCGCCCGTTGGCCTTCATTTGCCCATAGGTCTCTACATCACCCGACCGAAGCCATATATAAATCTTCATTCTTTATTCGTCCAAAGGCACTACATCACTCGACCGAAGCCATTTATAAGTATCATTTGCCCGTAAGCCTTCATTCGCTCGTAGGCCCTTACATCACCCGACCAAAGCCATATAATGATATCATTCGCTCGTAGGCCCTACATCACCTGACCGAAGCCATTTAATGATATCATTTGCCTGTAGGCATATATAAGCATAGAAAATCATAAACATAATATTTCCAACATCATATCTCATCGGAGCTCAATAACTCAAACATCATATCATAAATCTTTCAAGAATGTAAATATGATAAAGCATGATATTTCATAAAGTGTAAATCAAATTTACTCATAAACATTTCATAAAACGTAGCCATAAAATCATGCTTTTCATGTATGCATTTCTAATAATAAAATCATGCATTTTGGAAGGGGTCCATTCACCTTACTCCGTTGTTGAAGAGTTGTGCAAACTAGAGAAGGCGGAAATGCCACTAACAAACGAACCTAAGCACATAAAGGGACCAATAAATAAAACTATACTATAACGATTGAATTTGGGGAAACAAATGTTGTAAATAGATTCAAGACATCAAAAAACCTAAGGGGGAACCTCGGGTACCCCTAAACACTACCACATTCGCCACCGCACGCTGAGTTGGGTCGCTAGAAAGTTAGCTGGAAAAGCCCACGGTGGAGCACAGTACCTCTAGTGGAGGCGCGTGTGCTCCACACACTGGGATGGGTCGGATCCGGGTTAGATCTAGGTTGGATATGGGTTATAGGTTTACTGGGTTAGGCCTGTTTTTGGCTTTGGGTTTGGGCTTAGGTTAGTGGGCTAAAGGTTTGGGTTTGGGCC